CCGGTCTTTTGTAGAACCGATGCAACCCTACGCCAAAGATATGCGCAGAAGGTATACGCAGAAGAAATTGGCTAAATAGGTTTAAGTCACACATATTACAGTATTAATAGAGATGGATCTCTGCATTTCAGTTATCAATTACGCAATTCTTTCATCGCAAGTGTATGAATTCTCTAAACGGTATAAAGTTTCGTGTTACATTCTTAAATTGCAAATTCAGAGAAAGACCCTGAAGCAGCCACTTTGAATTCACATTTATGGGTGTAAAGTTTCATGGGCAATCTTGTTACAGCAGGATATGTGTTTTTATTACTTCCTTGATAGTGATCGTAGAAATTGACTAATCAGAAATCAGAAGCAAGGATGTATCACGTGCAGCAGGTTGATAAATAGAAGAACAATAATATGCAATGTGAGTCAAAATTAAGCGCGGGAGTAATCTTGATAAGATTTCTTATTTGTACATACTGTATTGGAAATATTAAGTTTCTTGCATCTTTAAGTGACGGCTAAATAGTTTTTGGGCTATTTCACTTTTTCTTGTCAATCTTTCTTGTTATTCAATTGTCAAGGCTGGACTGGACGATTGACTATCAATCACCAAACAAAGAATAGTTCACAAGGCTATCTGATCCAATTTTATCCTTTCTTTTACGCAAATGAACCAAATGAACCATTTAAAAGAAACGTGTTAATTGAATGTTTAACAAATAAAAATTGTCGTTGTACCATGATCTAGGTGTGACTACCCCATCATGCATTTTTGTTATTAAAAGTTACGTATATAAACTTACGACTTTTCCCTTCTTCAGTGATAAAGTCTTTTCTCACGAACCACAAGTTTATTCATTAAAAATATTAAAAATTAATATACATGTAAAAATAGATTATATACATAATTAATACTTTACTTTGGCTGTGCCGCTAATTTATAATGAAATTATTTTCTAAATTTTCTATTCCTACCTTACAATTTCAAGTTCCACCACCACCTCCTAATAAAAACTTTACTGAGACACTTTATCCAAGTCTGTCTCGAGCTGCTACTGCTAGAGGAGCTGCTGCTCGTCATA